GCCTTGTGAGCATCTGAACCCTTGGGACCTAAAGACTTTGCATGTTCACTTGCACCGGCCTGTGAAAAGATATCACAATGGAAGTAGAATTCTGAGAATTTAAAACAGAAGAACATGATTCCAAGCAAAAATGAGATTGAAATCTGATGTTGAGCTTGTACCTCGATATATTTCTTGGCATTATCCCAGGCTCCTCCTGTGTTGGAAGCAGAGATGGCAACCTGGACCCCAGAAACAAGTGAACCAGCTAGCACACCAGCAAGGGTTTCAACACCAAAGAAGGTACCAGCAATAAGTGGGGTGAGCATGACTAGAGCTCCTGGTGGGATCATCTCCCTGAGTGAGGCATCTGTTGAAATCTTGACACAGTTCGCATAGTCTGGTTTTGCTCTGCCTTCCATGAGCCCTGGAATAGAATTGAATTGTCGGCGAACCTCTTCAACCATTTTGAGAGCTGCACTTCCCACACTCTTCATTGTCATGGCTGAAAACCAGTAGGGAAGCATGGCTCCAACAATCAGTCCAATAAAGACTTTAGGTGTCAATACATCAACAGTCTTGATGCCTGCTCTGCTTACATAGGCACCAAATAAAGCAAGCGAAACAAGGGCAGCTGATCCAATAGCAAAACCCTGAGAAGAGAAGGTCATCATGTCAAAATCTTACATTGCTTTAAGGCAACTAGCCAACAGTGAGATAAAAGGATACTTCACCTTGCCAATAGCAGCAGTGGTGTTTCCTGCAGCATCTAAAGCATCAGTTCTTTCCCGTATCTTGTGACTCATTCCAGCCATTTCTGCTATACCACCAGCATTGTCACTAATGGGACCATAAGCATCAATTGCAAGGCCAGTAGCAATGGTACTGAGCATTCCCAAAGCAGCCACAGCAATTCCATACATGGCAGCCATACTAAAACTCACATAAATAGCAATGGCAATGGCAAAGATGGGAATGATGACAGATTTGTATCCCAGAGCCAATCCGAATATCACATTTGTTGCAGCACCAGTCCTGCAAGAATCTGCTACATCCTGCACCGGACTGCAAGAATTTGTAGGAAAAATTAGCATACAAAACACATAATGATGAATGTAATAATTAAAGGCTTGTGTCATGCCTCCAAAGGCATTAAGGAATAAAAAAGAGGAAATGCACAGGTAACTGACCTGTAAGCATTGCTGGTATAATATTCTGTAGTATATCCAATTACAAGTCCAGCCCACAAGCCAATTGCAACACAGAAGAAAAGGTGCCTGTAATTGCATATAATTCAACAAGATTTAGTGATACCCTTTGAGGGGAATTTGGAATAAAAGGCATGGTGAGAAGTGAGTTTGGAGGTTGCTGCATACCAGTTCTTTACAGCCTTTTCGGTCCCAAAATTAAAGAGAGTGAATTCCGAGGGCAGAGCAAAGAAGCTAACCACAGCAATCCCAGCAGTCATCAAAATAGTTGAGATTAGGAGTTGTCTCTTCAAAGATGGCTCAATTTCACTGACATGCTTAATCTCAAAAAGATCAGTTGCAAAAATTGTAGTAATCAAGCAAACCACAATCCCCATTGAGCTCACAATCAAGGGATAAGACATGGCTGTAAAGTCATGAGTGATGCCAAAGGAAGATATTGATGCAACAAAAAGTGCAGCACATGATGACTCGGCATAAGACCCAAATAAATCAGAACCCATCCCTGCAATGTCTCCAACATTGTCACCTACATTATCAGCAATGACCTGCATTCAAAGGCTGACTATCATTACAAAAACATTGAGCTAATGAACTTCAGGTGTGGAGATATATATATATATATATATATATATATATATAACAGAATGGATATGGATTTATAGGAAATTACAGCAGGGTTTCGTGGATCATCCTCAGGGATATTTTTTTCAACTTTTCCAACAAGGTCAGCACCAACATCAGCAGCTTTTGTGTAGATTCCACCCCCAACTCTTCCAAAGAGTGCCATTGAAGAACCCCCAAGACCATAACCAGTAATAGACTCATAAAGCCCCTCCCAGTCATCCCCATAGTACAGCCTGAATAAATTGATTGATGCATATAGCACCAGAAGGCCATTGGCAGCAAGAAGGAAGCCCATCACTGCACCAGAGCGGAAAGCTGTGATGAATGCCTTTCCAACACCCTTCCTTGCCTCTAGAGTTGTTCTAGCGTTTGCGTAGGTTGCAATCTTCATCCCAAGAAAACCAGAGAGTGTTGAAGTAAGAGCCCCAAGCAAGAAAGCAACTGTACTGAATAAGGCATTGGCCAGTGCTGGTTTGCAAATATTTCCCTGGTTGTATGTGCAAGGTTCACTTTTTGTGCTGAAGCCCTTAACTGAACCAAGGAAGAGGAAGATAACAACTGCAAATGCACACATGAAGATGCCAAGGTACTTATACTCCGTGAACAGGAATGAGGTTGCCCCTGAGAACATGATACAGAATAGTACAGATTTTAGTTAAAATTACATAAATGCATGTGTAGAACTTAGAAGGGTGCTAAAAAATGTAAAGAATGGTGCCTGCATAGAAATTATACAATACTATGCCAGAATCAATAAAAATCATCATGAGATCTCATGCCCCTTCGATCCTCAGTACCATGATATTTGTTTCTTTGTTGCAAATGGTGTGCTCTGCGTTCTTGCTTAGTGAATTTTGTTACCAAAATTGTCAGTCCAACATATCCAGCATATACACCCAATTATATAATGATAGGTAGTTCTTAAAAGTTCAAACACAGACAAAATCCAGAATTCTATATATGATCTATGACAAAAACTAATCATTTCTGCATCTGCAGGAACTGAAGCTAAGATAGCAAAATTTAGGCTGAACATACAGAGATATAAGATCCAGAAAATATAGGGCAAAAAGACAGATCTGTAGAAGGAAAATGGAAAGAAAACAAAGAAGCAAAACAAAAAGGTGTATAACTTAAAGCTTCTATCAAATTACTAAGGTTAATAAGAAAGCAATAGCTCCAAACTAAATAATCTTAAAATTCCACTTGTAAATTAAATCTGGAAGATTAAGAACCAGCAGAGACAGAAACGACAAAAAGGGAAGAAACACCTTTGTCTTTATAAACAGAAGTATGACACATGCAAATTAGCCAATATTTTTTGCCTTTTTTCTCTTTTGGATGACTCATTGATTTTCATTTTGTATGAAACAAGATAATTACACCAGCAAAAAGAAAAAGAAAAAGAAAAAAAAAAGATCTCATAGGATATTTTTGGACACAAGAAAAAGCATAAAGGATAAAGAAAAAGACTAGACCTCAACACCCATGATCTGGGTCCAAAACAACTCAAACAAACACAAGAATTCCAAAAGCAAACATCCAGGAATGATAAATAGACATTAGAGAGAAAGAAAGCTCACCGACAGAAATGGCATTCTGAATCTCAGCACACTTGATGGTAACCTCGAGATTATCAATACCCTCTTCTTCTTCATCAGCTTCAATCAGTCTGTCTTTGAACCCATTGCTTGAGTCATTTGAGACCCTAACCTTCGAGACCATAAACCATTGAATCAAAGCAAAGACAATGCCCACCAAGGCAGCTACAGGTATCAAAACCTGCGTGAGTCCCTCACTCAAGGTAGACATTTCCACAAACAGATTGGCTTCTTGGCTTCTCCTAGCAACTATAGTAAAGACATGTAACTGGGTTTCTCAAGTACTGCCTCTAACAGCTGCAGGCATGGTAAAGTACATTACCCAAAATCTATCTTTTAGAGGCCATGCAAGAATGGATTGCTTAAATCTTATTCAAACTGGTTGGTTTGAATGGCAGATGGAACAGGCTAGACTCTTCTAAAACCTTGGAATTTGTTTTGTTTACTAGTTGGTTTGATCAGCAGCTCTAGGTTTTGTTCCTTTCCTTAGTCCTTATCCTTTGTGCTCCATTCAAATTAATTTCATGGGTCACATTTCCCAAGCTATATGGATAAAGTTGCTAAATCAGCAATTCATTTGATGAGGATAAGGACAAGAAAGTGACGTTTTACTTCATTTATCTCACATTGTGAATCAGTTTAAACGTGGGTAAAAACACTTCTATTAAACTAAACGTTATAACCAGATTAAAAGATTCATGAGAAATCACAACAATTTATTGACCTAATGTGTTGTTTCCAGAGATTGGGTGATCTCATATTAACCTTTTCAATTCAATATCTCAACAATTATTGTCCTGATGATCTGTTTCTAGAGGTTGCAAAAGCATTTTAAAATGTGCTAGTGCTTTGAATTATCTTTGATGGATACTTGTTTTACAAGCACAATAATATGCAGTCTCAATCAATGACAATATATGAACACGTTTTCCCTCCTGGTTGTGAATGTTTGATTGAGTTTTACATCAGAATTCAAGTTTGACATATTTTAATGGGGAATTCTAGTGAACTTAGCTCGTTTGGCTCTTGACGGGTTCAAGCCCTTAGTTATGACTTTCCAGGTGACTTGCAATAAGGAATAACATAGAATGCAAAATCAGTTCATACAGGCTAATTTTAATGCCAGTCCGGGGCTAAAAAGACCATTTTGCCCCTCTTTCTTATCTTTCCTTGACATTCATTAATGATAAAATGGTCTTTTCAACCCTCACTCATGATAAAATGATCACTAAAAAATTTTGTCATAGATATTTAGCTAATTTTTTTAAAGATGGGTTTTACTTTAGGTTCTTATCAAGGCAAAGCTCACTTGTAATCACAGTGAACAATGGAGTGATTCATAAGGAAATATCTCTGCAAATTCTTTAAATTGCCTAACCACATGAGCTTCACTTTAATTTCTTGAGATTATTCAACTTTTAAGAAGTCAATGACTCCTTGGGAAAAGCGCAACACTTTCATTTGCTTAACCATGAAGTTGATGACAACTTGAGCTTATTCAACTTTAATTTAAGGAAAATAATTAATTTGTACAAGCTGCCAGAAGAGACTAGGAAATTGCTCATATAATTTATCCCACCAACAAAACCCTTGACTTGATTTAAAGGGAAAATTACACTTACCCCCCCATGTGGTTTGGGGTGAGTGCACTTAACCCCACAAATCAAAAAAATGTGCACTGGATATACTGTAGTTTGAACTTCATTTTTTCAAGTCACAACTACCCACCCTCTTAACCAATATTTTACTGCGACAGAAGTCCTTTTGATATGAAACTCTGCAGGTTAATCGCCATGCTTTGACGTAAAATGTTCACTTCTAACCATTTCTTTGAAATCTGAGCATCTGAAAAATGATATAAACAGTTCAAGACCTCGAACAAGCATGAATCTACCTCTGAAACCAACAAGACAAAATTTTCTCTAACCAGGTATTTTCTTTCAAGATAATTAAGAAAAAACCATACCTTTTGGCCTTATCAACTGAGTCTTCTTGCAAATATGTGTGCTTCCTTCTTCTGGAATATCTTGATATTTCCTTTGGGACTTTTTTCACATTTCCTTTCTTGATGTGTCCAGAATGAATAAATTAAGAAGGCTATTTTAATCAGTTATGAGTTGGAATGCCTGCCTGGATGGATCGTATGGAAGTCTCTTCTGTTAAAGTATTTAAATTTTAGTTCAAGTAGTTCAACTGGTTATAAAAATCTAAGATTTCAAATTAAAATTTTTAAATTTGAATCTTAAACTAGATAAAAACGGATTTATAAAAAGAAAAAAACTATCTTTTTTTTGTATATCTCATCTTCAGATGTATAAAAAAAAGTAATTAAATTTTAAATATGTATTTTAATGTATCTAATCACTTTTTCATATAAACTAGTAAATTAAATTAATTAATTTCAAACCTTAATGTTTGCATTGGGAGTAATAGTGGAACTTCTAAATTCTAACATTAGCATATTGCGTCTAAATTGTGGGCGGGAACATGAAATTAGGTTACTCAAAAAAAAATTTATTCTTTGCTAAAAAAAAAAAAAATTGATCATGCATAAAAGATTTTCGTCCAACCAAATTCCATGTTCCAGTCTACAATTTGGACGTGTGATGTTATTATGAGAAGTTCCACTATTAATGGCAATGCAATCATCTCTTTCATGATTTTATATAAGTACTAATCACAAATTAAAGTTAGAAATTAATTTCCGATAGCAGTGTCCTATGAAAGAGTTGAAAATATAAAAACATAATTAAAATTTGCAAAAAAATATATATCTTCCCCAATTTTTCAAAAAATTAAAATCCCAAACTTTAAAGGACATTATTTCATTTAATTAAAATCTAATTTAAA